ATCAGAAAGTATCAAATTATGAAATGAAAACATAAACTTAGGCCAGAAGTATTTATTATTCTTATGTAGTTATACCACTGTAGTTGTACAACTACAGTATATATATATATATATATGTTATATATATATATATATATATATATATATATATATATATATATATATATATATATATATATAACAACTATGTATAACTAATGTATATACAGCAACTACAGAGTATATCTCTGACTGTAGTTGTACCGCCGACAAACTGTTACGCTATTTGGTAGGTGTAAAAAATGTACAAAATGTTTGTCCTTAATAAATGATTTATTATTATTTTTAGAGTATTCTCATGTGGTTGGGCTGAATAAATATATAAGAGGAAATGATAAATATACATAAATATATATTTTAATATAAATAAATAAATAATTAGGGGAAAAGGAAAGAAACCGGAGGACTATGCGGGCGGTATCGAGGAGCACCGCCTTCCGCATTTGTGCCTGAAGCTTGAGCTTGAGTAGGCTGTAACGGTAACGGTAAGAGAGGGAAATATCATGTTACAGCTTTTTTAAACTTTTTATTTTACGAGGCGATTGACTTGAAACATACTGAAAGTACTTACTCTTCTTAGATGTTTCAAAACAACCCCTTACAGTGGAGGGCCATAAGGTTGTATGGAGAAAATTTTATTCATATTTTTTTATTAAAAAACATGTGCATGTTTCTCGTGAATTAAAATAATAAACCAATTTTTTTTTTCAAAATCTAACCGACTTAAAACGAGGGTGTAAGTTCTATATGAAAAATATTGATATGACAAATAGCTCAAGCTGTAGAACTTAGAAGCATACATACGAATACATAAACACTCATACCTGTCACCCAGAGGGGTAGGCAGAGACTACAGACTTCCATTTAGCACGATCCTGACATACCTCTCTCGCCTCTTCCACATCCATATACCTACGCATACATGCTCGTCGGTTAAGGGTACTCTTAATTTGGCCCATTTTTAGTATATCGCCAATTTGGTCGACAAATTTCCGCCTAGAACGTCCCTTTCCGACTCTTCCATTCACTTCTGCAACATATATTTGCTTTGTCAGTCTTTCCGCAGCCATTCTTTCTACATGACCAAACCACCGAAGCATTACTTTCTTAATACTGGTCACTGCATCATCTTGCAAACCACACTCTTCTTTTATCACACAGTTTCTCATCCTGTCACTCAGATTCAGCCCTAACATACTCCTTAGCGACCGCATTTCTACTGCATTTATTCTACTCTCGTGCTTCTTCTGCCACACCCAACTTTCACTACCATATGTTAGTAGGGACTAATACAGCATTGTGAATTGCCATACGTGTCTTTTTTGAGACATTCTGACTTTTCACAATAGAGTGTAGAGCCCCATTTACTTTATTTCCTGCATTCACTCGTTGTTCAATATCCTTATCATATCTCCCATCCCTGATGAATACACATCCCAAATATACGAACTCAACCACTTGCTCAATTAACTCTCCTTCTATTCTTATTTCACATACCGTTTAGCTTTCTTCTCTTTCAAAAACCATCACTTTCGTCTTACTTGCGTTCACTTTCATTCCCCTTTCGTTTAATGACCTGTTCATTAATGTAACCATCATTTGCAACTCGGCCGCCGATGACGCAAGTATGACTTGATCATCGGCGTACAAAAGGCATTTGATGGTTAACTCACCCATTCTTAACCCGCATTCTTCAACTTTCAAATGTTCCAAACAACTGTCCATAAATAGGTTGAATAGCCACGGGGAAGCCACACAGCCTCTGTCACAAACAAACCAGTCCGAGTAGACCCTGTTGATTCTAACACAAGCACTCGAGTCCCTATAAAGAGTCTTTAATGCCTGTATTAAACCAGCGCTCAACCTAAATGCGTTCAGCGTTTGCCATAACACATCCCTGTCCACTCTGTCATAAGACTTTTCCAAGTCCATGAACGCACAAAAAACTTTTTGGTTTTTCGCCAACTTCTCCGCGATCATGCGCATAGAAAAGACTTGATCTGTACACCCCATTCGCTTTCTAAATCCCGCTTGCACATCCCAAATTTTTTCATCAGTTTCTTTTATAACTCTTTCAATTAGTACCTTAGCATACAGTTTTCCCACAATGCTAAGAAGGCTGATACCACGGTAGTTTTTACAGTCCTGCCTGTCCTTTTCCCTTATATATTGGGACTATCACGGCTTTGCACCAGTCTCCCGGTACCCGCTTTAGTTCCCAACATAAATTAAACAAGGTGTACAGCAGGCCTGCCACCACGTCCTCTCCAGGCCTTAGCATTTCAAGTGAAACTCTATCATATCCGTCTGCCTTACCTACTTTCATGCTTTTCATTGCTTTCATTATTTCATCTATACCTATCTCCCTATCTCTTTCATCTTCTATCGGAATTTCTATTTCATTTAGTTCACACGTCTCCTCACTCATAAATACGCTTTCAAAATATTCCTTCCATCTCTTTAGACTCAACACTTCATCATTCAGAATACAGCCATTCTCGTCTCGTATCGCATTCAATCTAGGCTGTTTTGAATGTCCCCTGGTATTTCTTACGAGTTTCCAGAACATTTTAATATTTGCCTGGAAGTTATCCGATATTCTTCTATCATTCTTATCCGTTCTTTCTTGCTTTTTCCTTTCAACTAATTCTTTTACTCTCTTATTTAGACGTTTAAACTCTGCCTTTTTTCTTTCAATCTCATCATTCTTACCGCCAGAATTATCAGCTTTGGTCGCTAGTAAATCTAGCCATGCTCTCTTCTTTGCTTCAACTTCCATACGTACCTCATCATCCCACCATAACGTATTGTCTTCCCTTTCATTCGTTCTCTTACTAACACCACATACTTCGGTAGCTGCATCCACTAAACCTTTCTTAACATTATGCCACACATTCTCCAAGTCTAACTCATTCACACACAACTCATCCAAATCACTTATATTTTCTCTCAGTCTACATTTGTACTTGTCTTTCACATCTTCATCTTGTAACCTCTCAATTCTTATACGCTGTAACGCAGTTGTAAACACAGATGTCCGATGCCGCCAACGTCTGAATAAACCCCTAATTCGGCATAAAACCAGGTAGTGGTCCGTCCCTACGTTGGACCCCCGGTAAACCCCTGTATTCACCACTGCGCTCCTCATTCTTTCATCTACAGTTATGAAATCTAACATGCTTCCTACACCTCTTTCCCAAGTATACATGTGAATCTTCTTATGACGAAAGAAAGTGTAACTTAGAAGCATGAAATTATAACAACATTGCTTTCTTTTATTACGTAGGCATTAGCTAAGATAGTATTTTAAAAATTCAAAGCCACAGAGAGTAAAATAAGATGTTACAGCAGTTTGTACGACACTTTTTTTATTTTACGGAACGATCTTTAATTATACAATATGAATATATATGTAATTCTACGTCCGTTGAGGTATTCTACTAGTGGTACTAAGGAATATTGTGTTGCTGAGGCTGCCCTGTGTTACATTAAGATGGGTAGTGATGCTGTTGGTTTGCATACGGTGGTGTTATCATGTAATTGGGTTCTTCACGTTACAGTGGTGTGTGATTGTGACGGGAACACGTTACAGTTAGTCGAAATGTATTGCCCTGTACTGATTACATAGTGCAGTGCACCGTTCTTCAGAATAGTTTCTGATAGTAAACAGGGCTTGTTACCGAATAGTGTTCTTTTATTTAAATACTTTTGTTGATAATTTCTAACACCAGAAGTGAAATGATTTCTTACATCAGAAGTGGGATTAAAGCTTTTTCTTTTAGCTCTACGTTCTAATTTTCTAGCAATACGTATAACTTTTTCGAACGTCGTTCATGAAGGATGAGGGGCCCCTTGAGCTTGGCAGCCCTGAGGCACTGGCCCGCCCAGCCTAAGGTAGCTACGACACTGGCCTCTACACTTGTTTATTGTGTATGGCTGCTACTCGGTTCCCCTCTGTCCATGTTTAATTTTAAACAAGCAAATAAATCCACAACAGTTGAAGAGTCGCAACCGTACTTTTTGCGTCTATCGTCGTCGTTTTGGGAATCAAGTGACGTTGACAATTTGCCTAAGTTGTCAAAATCTAGATAATTTTTTCTAATTTTGCCAGTACTATAATGGTCTAACTCTCATAGGTCACTGTGGAACTTGGATTTTAGTCGATTTGAACATAAGCGGAAATGGATTTGTACTGCCATCTATTGTTGAGATAATGTAATCAATTTAAGGCTGCTCTGATTTCGTAGATTAACATTTTCAAAATGCAAATAGGTCAAAAGTCGCTCAAATGCAGTTAGGCCACTCTGATTCTAGCAGCCTCATATGTTTGTACTAGTCATATTTACTTATATACATCATAATTTTATCAATTAAAAAATCTAAAAGATTTATGTAAATATATTTTATTAAATTATATGCATCTTAGTAGACTGCCAATATAAGTTTTCTCTTTGGAAACACATCTGATAACATAATTTACTGACTTTTTTATTACATTTAATAGAATTTACTCCAACACTAATAATACACCTTTATCGTGTAATCGTTTCAAGTTAAACGTTACGTAACGTTTTAAGACGTTGTTTATAGCTCAAGCTTAACACTGCTTATGGTGCTCTCTGCCTCTCTGCCTGGCCTGCGATACCTGGATTTAATTTTGAATATTTTTAGAAGAATTCGCCAAGTTGAGCAAGTGTTACTGTGAGAAACAAGTTACCCGATAGATAGCAATATAAATATCTCGAATATGCCAAATAAAAGGCGATGAGAGAAGCCGTGTTCAACAGTAGACTATTTACAGGCTGATGAAGAAGAAGATAAGTCAGAAGATCTTCTAGCCATCAAAGACTTTCCTCAAGTTGTTAGTAGAAAAAATAGAAACGATTAACAAGTTATAATTTTTATTATCACTGTCAAAAATCTAACTTTTTTGCAGAAAATTTATGGCACAGGTTTATTCACTAATAATTTCTATAAAATTCAGTGATAGCTCTGGTAACCGTAGCTTTGCAAGCGTCTTCAGAGTGGTCATTTTTAATGTATTTGGCACTCTCAATGAACTTGGAGTTCCTCAGATAGGCGTCAACAGTTTCCTTAGCAGCACCCTCGAGGGTTTGGCTTCTAGATTTAATCCAGGAGAAAACTGAAACAAAGTGTTAAGCAAAAATTTCCTATATATATTTCATTGCTTGAATTATCTTTCAGCACGAATTATATTGTACGTAATATATCTGATTAGGTTTGATCGCTTAGAACAAATCTGTGGGCAAAATTTCCTCCTTTGCCCGAAATACACTTTGAAACCATCCAACCAATTTTGATTAAAATATTTGTATGTATTTGAATGGATCTCTAGATATTTTATATTTATATTTGGACCCGGTAGATGGCGCTGTTGTCGCGATCCATAAATCACCAGCGCGAAGTCAAAGCGGATCACATGTAATCCTTACACAAACATTTTAAAATTATTTTTTTTTTCTGTTAAAAAGTACTTTTAATCATACGAATTTTTTGAGTAAGACGAAATGCTGCTCAAGGGAAGTTTCGGGATCTGGCATAAAATAAACACATCAACACGGTAAAGGGATATTTTCACTAACATTGATCAACTAAAAAAAGTACTGGCCACTTAATTTTTTTAATACCAAATTATTCGTCATTTATCCAGGTTGATTCTAAATTTAAATAAAATGTGTTAGTGGTAAAAACTGAGTTAAACTAGGGGGGTCAAATTTTGTACTCAGAGTTTTTTTTTTTTGAAAATCGCTATTTAAACATCTAATATTTTTAATTCAACTTGGGCTGATTGTGGCAATTTGACATTTTATTGCAATTCAATGTCGACATTTAATTGGAGAAGAGATGTCAAGAGCAATGAGAATCCTGCAGGCCGATGCTTTTATACCTGATATCGCTGCAGCAGCAGGCACCAGGCAAAGTGTGATTTCGAGGTTGTGGTCACGCTATCGTGCCATGGGAGAGGTGGTGGAGAAACATTCAGAATATTCCCGAGCCGTATTATTACAACCAGACAATACCGTTATCTGCAAATTGCAGCGGGAAGACAAACAAATGTTATGGCGATGCAATTTGTCCAAAGACTACAGTCCGAACAAGAGGGGATTGTGAGTAACCAAACAGTGAACAAAAGACTGCACGAAGTTAACCTTCATGCTCGTAGACTACTTCGAGTTCCAGTTCTAAGAAGAGCAAATCGTGGACGAAGACTGCGATGTATTAAAGAACATGTGAACCTCATCAATGGTCGCTGGTGCTTCTTACTGATGAATCCCGATTTGGATTTCATCCTAATTCGGGGAGAGTACGTGTTTGCAGAGTTTCTGGTCGTACAAGCCGGTATCAACACCCTCAAGAAGTTACAACTATGGTGTGTGCAGGAATTCGTTTTGGTCGAAGTTAGGATACAGGGCACTATGACGGCTGAAAAATACTATAATGAGATGCTAGAACCAATAGTCTTGCCACATCGAACACAAATGAGTCAAAATGTCCCACTTATGCATGACAATGCCCGTACACATACGGCCGGAATGGTAACAGGCTGGTTGCACAAACATGATGTCACGATCCAAGAATGGCTAGCGCAATCTCCAGATTTAAATCCTATTGAGCATGCTTGAAAAAAGTTCCAAAGAAGAACTCTGACGAATTTTCCAGAAAATTTAGTTACATAAGCACAACATTTTAAGCAACTCAATAATAGAATATTTCTCACCAGAATATTGACAACCTTATTCTGAGTATGCTCAACCGATGCAAATGTTTTATGAATGTCAAAGGTGATTTTACTGATTATTAACTCTTAATTAATAGGAGTTATGGATCTTCTACAAAACTGAAGACTTTATTTTGTTGAATTTTTGTACTTTTATTAATAAATGTACGTCCATTTCACTTTATAATTAAGTTTTTTTAGCAACTGTGAGTATTTTTAGCCAAAAGAAATAAAAACTTTGGTTGGTTATTTTAAAGGCTATTTAAATATTCACAAAATGTTATACATCTGCTGATTGATCACTCTCAGTCAGTCAATGACGGAGTAAAGTCGGCCACAGTCGATTGTGTGTACGTTTCACAGACAAGATTGGCTACATCTTAAAGTGAACTTCGGTCAGAACATTCTACATGTCACCGAAGAAGATTTTTCAGTTCTTACCATGCGTCAAGTGTAATACCCCTCTACATCATGCAGGAGTGCTTGATTTTGAATGTAGTCTCTCGTATATAGGGCAAACAAAATGATATGTAGTATAGTAGAATATATAGCTAACTGAGGAAGACCGCAGTATACGATCATATCCTGGACGACCCCCCCCCCCCATTACATCAGATTTGACTACTCCGGGTTAATTCCCTTCCCTTTGCTTCGGATCCACGTCGTGACGAGATGTGTTTTATGTTAAATTAGTTAGCATACTTAATATAATACAAGTTTCTTCTCTAATACTAGGATAAAATAACGCGCGGCGCTTACCGAACACCCGTTCCCGATATTCGAGGTAAGCCACGCCCTACAATCAGATTGTTTATTTTACTTGATATCAGTGCGTGTTAATATAATATTTGTGGTGATATAGTAACAACAAGCATAAATTAATAGTGTCTGGAAAAATATAATAGTAATCTTTCATTTACACTACTTCTACCTACACCTAAAGCTAACAAAGGCGAATGCTACGTTTACCTTATAAAGAAGGTTCAGACTCGAACATTTCTGTTACCAAGAAAATAGAGAAAATACCTCCACCCTTTTTTAGCGCGAGACAAAAAGGTGCCATGAAGACTTAGCTAAATACAACCTTATGTGTTTCAAAGAAGAATTTTACGAATTGTTAAATAAATGGAAGTTTGATCAAGACTAAAAACTCAACAGGATTGAAAACAAATTAAGTAACATAGAAAAAACATTTACTGATATTAAAAAGTCACTTGAGTTTCTCTGTAGTCAACAAGTAGACATGCGCCTTAAAGACGACGTTTTAAGTAAATAATGAAGTAAAGAAGCAAAATAAAGAATCCATTCAAATTCTGAAAGAAAAAGTTGAAGATCTTCAGCGTAACAACAAAGGATAAAGTAAGTAAAAAAACAACTTACTGGACTGGTAATAAGTATATTTAAGGAATTGTAGATGGAAATAAAAGCTTCAAATATCCGTGATACCTATCGAGGTCCAAGAAAAATATCGCCAAAACAAATAGTGGTTGACTTAACTAGTACTATCTTCTTAAATCACACAGAAACTTCAATAGAATCAATCCCAATAACAGGTTTATTCGTCACATATTGGCTTAAAAATACTTACATATAAGTATATATTTCCAAGCACCTTACATGTTATAAGAAAAAATGTTTTATCTTGCCCGTACCCTCTCAAAAGAAAAGAACTTTAAGTTTTGTTGGACAGCAAATGGAAAAGTTGACTTAACTAAACTACTAAGTGTTTAATATTGTTTATTATTTACTTTTTATAATAAGAATAAAGCAGCTAATAATAGTATTTTAATATTGTTGGTAATAAAGTAGGTAGAAAAATATAAACAAACTGTTATTTTGTTACTTTGTAAAGATAAAGAATATTGTTGTAATTACGACACGCCAAGTACAGGCAAAGGTATTATACCTTGCATCCTAGTGTGTTTTAATGTTTCTAAAATATTGTTAGCAAACGGATGTTATTTTATATTATTTTATATCATAACTAAATTTTACAATTTTTACTATATCCCTGTTAACATTGATTTCAAGAAATGATTTTGTTTCACAGACACTAACAAATTAAACGTTTGATTTTGTTTTAGTTGGGAAAGACTAACTGTGGACTTATTAGTTTAATGTTGATGTTTTGTTATATCCTGTTTCTGTATTTACTTGTATAATAGTGTATTTTAATGTTCTATTAATTTAAGGTTATTTTTAGAAAACAATAATTGTTATCTTTATCAGTCAACTGATGGGATAGAGCAGTGATAGTGGAGTAGTTGATTTTCTGGTTTATACGTATAGCGTTGTAGATATTTTATACTTAGACTTTGTTTTATCTCTTAATATATTTAATATTATATTATTTATTATTATCTAATATACATATTATATATAAATCTATTTAGAAGTTAATAATGTCTGATGATGAATCTTTTTATTCCATTTATAGTTCAGATTCCTCATACGCCTCTGGTAATGATCTTACAGATAATTTACTTCCCTTACGCGATCAGTTAAGTAATATTTTTCTGCCTCATAAAAATATTTTAATGTTTGTCATATTAATGCACAGAGCATTCCAAGTCATTTTTCCTACTTAGAAGAAGCATTCTCACTAGACTGTGTCGATGCTATCTTAATATCTGAGAGTTGGCTTAAACCATCTATTATGTCGAGTTTGTACCCATTACCCAATTTCATTCTTATACGCAATGATCGGATTGAGAAGGGGGGAGGTGGTGTCGCTATATACCTACGAAAAAATATTCCTTATAAAGTTGTTCTATCTTCCCCCTCCCCATTTTCTGCCACTGCTGAGTTTTTATTTCCAGAAATAAACATTATGGGTTCTAGGGCAGTTTTAGGTGTTGTATATTGTCCTCCTTCTGTGGATTATTTTACCTCACTTGAGATGGCTCTTGACACCATTGGATCTGAGTACATACATTGCATGATAATGGGTGATTTCAACACTGATTTGTTAAAAAATACTTCTCGCTCCCAAAAACTTCGATCAATCATTGAATCAGTCGAACTCTGCATTCTCCCATTGGCGGCAACTCATAGAAATACTGACACTGATGATTCGTTGATTGACCTCATCATTACTTCCTCTTCTGAGCGCGTGATTCAGTTTGGGCAGCTCTCTGCTCCTTGTTTCTCACGTCACTACTTCATTTATTTTTCATATAAACTTAAACCTCCAAAACAGAAACCTATTTTTCTGCAGTTACGCAATTTTTCAAGAATAAATATTGAGAGTCTCAGGAGAGACGCATCTTCAATTGATTTTGGCCCTTTGGTGGCGGCTTCTAACGTCGATGATAAAATATCCTTTCTAAATAATAGCATCCTGAACTTGTACAATATTCATGCTCCGGTACATTATGTAAAAGTTAAGCGTCCTCCTGCTCCCT